AGCAAAACTTCGATAAGGATTACCGATAAGATGCGAGAAAAAAAGAGCCTTTAAGGTGTTGACAAAAAGCATATTTGTTTCTTCCTCTTCCAATGGCGGGTGGACTTGCACTGCTACATCTCTCCATCTTTGAGCATATTGCCTAAAACTCTCGTTAGACTTCTTTTCCATTCCTTGCAACATCATCCTGTTGGGCCTAACATCCTTCACATGTTTGTATTGCTCAAGAAAGGACTTAGCCAAGTCTTTCCACGATTTAATATTAGCTCTACTCAGCTGGTTATACCATCGGATTGCCGAGCCAGTTAAGCTTTCCTGAAAGCAGTGTATCAACAATTGATCGTCCCCTATGTATCCGGTCATCTTCCTACAAAACATTGTGATACGTGCAGAGGGGCACCTGGTACCATCAAACTTTTCAAAGTCAGGAACTTTAAACTTTGGAGGCAATACCAGATCAGGAACTAGACTTAACTCCTTTGCGTCGAATCCATAGACACTGGTATCTTCCTTCATGGCTCTGACCTCTCTTTCTAACTGCTTCCATTTCTCTTCCAACAGATTGTTTTGGTCCTTCTTGGCTTCTTCATCAAGGTCCGGAACTTGATGATATTGATGTTCTTCCTGATACGAACTAGATCCAGGCTGTACGTTAACAGAAGCACCGACTGGATTAATGTGCACCTTCCCGACATGAACAGGGGTCACTTGAACATTCTGAGATTGTTCTGGGGTTAACCCTGGATGATGAAGTGGGTCTTCAGTTACACCTTCTGGCATAGGGCTTTTCCCATGTTCTGGATTTCTTCCATCCAACATACTCGCAAACTTGGCAAACATCTCCTTTTGGGCATTCATCATATCTTCTTGCATTTTCTTGATATTATCTTGTAACTCCGACTGAGCCTTCTCAATTTGGGCAAGTTTGTCTTCCATAACTTTCTTCCTGGTTCTGTAGATATGCTTGGGATTTTCCAGTATTACTCTGTCACAGAGTCATTTTGTTATCGCTGATATTTATTAATGAATATGAAATATATGATTATGAATGAATAAAATGCGATGCAAAAATTAAATGCATTAAAAATGCATATGCAAAATGCAGGGTGTTGATCCTGGAACGACTCCTTAGAACAACTCTTTATATTAGAACGACGTTCAATTACAAAGTTGAAACATATCACAAATAAATCTGCACCATCTCTCCTATTTCTTGTACGTGTGCTAGTAACTCTACAATCTTCTGGTTTTCTTCAGCCTCAGGATCTAGTTCTTCAGTCACATCAGCGGCTTCCTCAGATAGAATGACCAAATATTGAGCTATTCCCCGCGCGTGTTCTAGGTAACAAGCAATAAAGTCTTCTCTTTGCTTAACTCTCGCCTGAGCTCGCTCCCATCGAAAACGCCACTGTATATCCCCCTCATAGGGAACTATCGATAGCTCACTTGCTTGCCTCCGAAACTCTTGAACCATGGCTTCAAGCTCACTCACTTGTTTTTTCAGACTTTCAACCTCTCCCTGGCTCGAGCTACCTTCCTTGTTTCGGTATCGTCGTAATGCAGTCTCTAAACTTGAAATTTTCTCCATCAACTTCTCATTCTGGGCTTGACTCTTTTGTAACCGCTGCTCTAAAGAATCATTTTCTTTCGATAAAATCTTCACTTGGTGTCTGCTTTGCTTGAGCTCTTCTTGACTCTCTCCGGATACTCTTTTGAGGTTTGCCACCTCTTGCCTCAATTCGACAGTCTTACTCGAGCTAGAACCTGCCTGAGCTTTTACCATTCGCTGATAAGTTGACCGAAGATCGTCAAAGTCTAGCCGAAGTTGCTTCTCTACTTTTTCAATTCGATCTGCTCTACTCTTCTGAATGTCAATCTCTAATCCCTTTTGATACACTTCATCTTCTAGCTTCTGTAAAGTCATTCTCCATTGTCTCCGTTCTGCTTCAAAATCGCGCTTGGCTAACTCTAATGGAGATGGCACCACTCTCAACTGTTCCTCCACCGGCTGAATATTTTCAGGATTCACCATCGGGATATTGTCATTTACTCGACCGCTTCTCCACTGCTCGTACTCTTGAGATAACTCGAGATCATAAGTGAACAGATTCACACGACGAGTTTGCTTCCAAGCCTCAGCAACCCCTTTAACTTTAACCTTATACTGATCTCCTTTGAAGGCAAAATCCGATCCTACCAAGTCCCACGTGGCTGGGATGAACTGCCTCGATCTATACTGTCTGGAAACTAGTAGCGGAGCATACCCAATAGAACCCCATATACCTGGCAAAGGAACCCAATCTCGCTCTCCACGTCGGTAAAGGATATCAGAGATGGAGATATTTTGTGGCGAGCTTCATGGAATATCTCTTCGGATATACTTTACCGATGTGGAGAGCGAGATTGGGTTCCTTTGCCAGGTATATGGGGTTCTATTGGGTATGCTCCGCTACTAGTTTCCAGACAGTATGGATCGAGGCAGTTCATCCCAGCCACGTGGGACTTGGTAGGATCGGATTTTGCCTTCAAAGGAGATCAGTATAAGGTTAAAGTTAAAGGGGTTGCTGAGGCTTGGAAGCAAACTCGTCGTGTGAATCTGTTCACTTATGATCTCGAGTTATCTCAAGAGTACGAGCAGTGGAGAAGCGGTCGAGTAAATGACAATATCCCGATGGTGAATCCTGAAAATATTCAGCCGGTGGAGGAACAGTTGAGAGTGGTGTCATCTCCATTAGAGTTAGCCAAGCGCGATTTTGAAGCAGAACGGAGACAATAGAGAATGACTTTACAGAAGCTAGAAGATGAAGTGTATCAAAAGGGATTGGAGATTGACATTCAGAAGAGTAGAGCAGATCGAATTGAAAAAGTAGAGAAGCAACTTCGGCTAGACTTTGACGATCTTCGGTCAACTTATCAGCGAATGGCAAAAGCTCAGGCAGGTTCTAGCTCGAGTAAGTCTGTCGAATTGAGGCAAGAGGTGGCAAACCTCAAAAGAGTATCCGGAGAGAGTCAAGAAGAGCTCAAGCAAAGCAGACACCAAGTGAAGATTTTATCGAAAGAAAATGATTCTTTAGAGCAGCGGTTACAAAAGAGTCAAGCCCAGAATGAGAAGTTGAAGGAGAAAATTCCAAGTTTAGAGACTGCATTACGACGATACCGAAACAAGGAAGGTAGCTCGAGCCAGGGAGAGGTTGAAAGTCTGAAAAAACAAGTGAGTGAGCTTGAAGCCATGGTTCAAGAGTTTCAGAGGCAAGCAAGTGAGCTATCGATAGTTCCCTATGAGGGGGATATACAGTGGCATTTTCGATGGGAGCGAGCTCAGGCGAGAGTTAAGCAAAGAGAAGACTTTATTGCTTGTTACCTAGAACACGCGCAGGGACTAGCTCAATATTTGGTCATTCTATCTGAGGAAGCCGCTGATGTGACTGAAGAACTAGATCCTGAGGCTGAAGAAAACCAGAAGATTGTAGAGTTACTAGCACACGTACAAGAAATAGGAGAGATGGTGCAGATTTATTTGTGATATGTTTCAACTTTGTAATTGAACGTCGTTCTAATATAAAGAGTTGTTCTAAGGAGTCGTTCCAGGATCAACACCCTGCATTTTGCATATGCATTTAATTTTTGCATCGCATTTTATTCATTCATAATCATATATTTCATATTCATTAATAAATATCAGCGATAACAAAATGACTTTGTGACAGAGTAATACTGGAAAATCCCAAGCATATCTACAGAACCAGGAAGAAAGTTATGGAAGACAAACTTGCCCAAATTGAGAAGGCTCAGTCGGAGTTACAAGATAATATCAAGAAAATGCAAGAAGATATGATGAATGCCCAAAAGGAGATGTTTGCCAAGTTTGCGAGTATGTTGGATGGAAGAAATCCAGAACATGGGAAAAGCCCTATGCCAGAAGGTGTAACTGAAGACCCACTTCATCATCCAGGGTTAACCCCAGAACAATATCAGAATGTTCAAGTGACCCCTGTTCATGTCGGGAAGGTGCACATTAATCCAGTCGGTGCTTCTGTTAACGTACAGCTTGGATCAAGTTCGTATCAGGAAGAACATCAATATCATCAAGTTCCGGACCTTGATGAAGAAGCCAAGAAGGACCAAAACAATCTGTTGGAAGAGAAATGGAAGCAGTTAGAAAGAGAGGTCAGAGCCATGAAGGAAGATACCAGTGTCTATGGATTCGACGCAAAGGAGTTAAGTCTAGTTCCTGATCTGGTCTTGCCTCCAAAGTTTAAAGTTCCTGACTTTGAAAAGTTTGATGGTACCAGGTGCCCCTCTGCACATATCACAATGTTTTGTAGGAAGATGACCGGATACATAGGGGACGATCAATTGTTGATACACTGCTTTCAGGAAAGCTTAACTGGCTCGGCAATCCGATGGTATAACCAGCTGAGTAGAGCTAATATTAAATCGTGGAAAGACTTGGCTAAGTCCTTTCTTGAGCAATGCAAACATGTGAAGGATGTTAGGCCCAACAGGATTATGTTGCAATGAATGGAAAAGAAGTCTAACGAGAGTTTTAGACAATATGCTCAAAGATGGAGAGATGTAGCAGTGCAAGTCCACCCGCCATTGGAAGAGGAAGAAACAAATATGCTTTTTGTCAACACCTTAAAGGCTCCTTTTTTTCTCGCATCTTATCGGTAATCCTTATCGAAGTTTTGTTGATGTAGTTACGGCGGGAGAAATGATTGAAATGGCTGTTAAGAGTGGGAAGCTCGAGGGAGGAGAGTCTAGTAAGAGGCCACCAACGAGGAAAAAGGAAAACGAAGTCAGTAATGTGAGGCAATACGATTCTAATAACATCACTGTTTCCCGTCCTCAAGGAGCAGGGTCATCAATACAAAATGACAATAGACAAGGGGTAAGGGACCAAAGGAGAGAGAGGCCTCAATTTGATCCAATTCCGATGACTTATAAGGAATTGTTTCAGATTTTGTATGATCGACATGTGGTTTCGCCGTATCACGTAAATCCACAGGAAGCAACCATTTCAACAGTTCTCCACATGGGTCTTGATTTGCATAGACTAAGTTTTCCTGATTCTCAGACAAGTTTCTTTCCTGAAATTTCTCAAATTGAAGAATTTCAATGACAGGGTCTCTGAGAAAACCAATGCCAACATTTACTTGTAAAAGTACCTGCATCCTTCCAAACAGAGAAATAGAATGAGAATCATTAGTCTGAATCGACAAGTCACCTAGAAAAGAAAAGAGTTGTTTCAATATGCCAATTAGAACCTTCCCAAAAGAATGCCAACTAGAACAATTGATCATGAAACAAAACGCATCCAAGAGCTTCTGCAATTGATTGCAGAAGCAGACAAGATATTTGTTAATTGAAAGAAATTTAAAAACTTAATAAATTTCCTCTAGTACAATTTTTTTGTGGGGGGGGGGAGCCTAGGAAGATGAACATGCCAGCAGTCAGCTTGTAAAAGGTAGCATACTGAAAGTATGATTCCATCAAATTCAGTTTACATGACTAGCAATGCCGAGTAGGTTGGCTAGAAGGAGCCCTCGCGAGCAAGCCTCCAAATGACAAGGTAGGAATATCCTACCTGTAATTACTTTTTATATTTCTCCAAGTTACCAACCCTTTCTCACAATAGCATCCAAGAACTCAAATCTGTGACTACAGGTAATGTCAGTAAATCTGGATATCAAGCAGCAAGGTCTCACACTCTCACTAGAAAAGATCTATTGAAGAGGAGTTTAGGAGATCCACATGACATAACCAATAGTGCTCCCCATCTTGTCATCAATATGGCTAATCTCAACAACTCAGCTAAAAAATCCCTCTATTCTTCTCCCTTTTCTTTTTACAAGAGGAAATTCAATTGACTGTAGCACATTAATTAAAAGATTTCTAGTCAGAAAAGGGAGACAGATTTTGGGATAGGAAGGTAGATTCTTTCCAGTTTTTGACAGTGGTGGATTGTAAACTGCATTAGCCTCTAATTGGAGGCAAGACAGAAAGGATGGTTCAAGAAAGAGGCAGAGAAGGTTGCAGAGAGTGCATTACTTTATGTATCACTGGCACTGCCCCTTGCCATTCTCATCACTAGGCAAATCTGGGTTTTAAGCACACCGCACTTACTGCACCCGGCTGAATGTTTACCAGGTTGACAATAACACACATCCAACATGGTCAGACAGAACTATCATGCAGCTTTTACAATAGTATTGCATGCAAAACAGACAACTTATTACTATCAGCAAAAAAAATTAAGTACAAATGCCTGCAGCATTTCCAAAGTCAAAGTAAAGAGTAAAACAATATCATTAACAATATAGTTCTTCAGTGGTGCATACCACTATATCTCCATTGGAAAGAGAGCAACACTTGACAGTACCTCTAGTTGCTCCACCAGAACCATTGGCATCAAAGTTCCCTCTATCAATAACTGCAGTCAGACTAGATATGTTCTTGGCAGTGGTTTCGGTTTCATTTTGAACAAACCATTGACTATCTATTTCAGATGAATCAGTAGCTGTCTGAGGAGCACTTTTTTTAGACCACAGAGGTTCATCCCTCTCTGTAATCCTAACAAAGAAATGAGAGTTATTAAACCTTTTTAATAGTGTTTCAGTCCGTCTTTTATGCTCTTCCATTCTAAGAAATGATTCACTGTCATGGACATCTTTTGCTGGATCAATCTTCTCTTTCTCCAATTTCTCATCATTCAGATCCATTAAAGCACCACCATGATTCACTTCCTCTCCTCCAGCCACTGAATTTGTCTTACCCTCCGTATCTAAATTTTGTTTCTTAGCGTATTTGCGCATGCCACTTTTACACATCACTGCAGCAACTTTAAAAGGGGTAATAATTTCTGTTTTCTGATTAGATGCTGATAAGCATGCTAGAACATGGACTTGTTCACCTGGAGAAGGAAACAGGAAAGATTTCAAGTTTCAAACAGAATATCTCCTAAGTGAATGCAAATCAAATACATACTAAATCTTTAAAGAAACAAGAGGCTGAAAAGAAAAATGGTACCAGGAAAAACAAAAGAACGATCCAGGGAACGTAATAAGCATACATCTGGTGCATGATTCCAATCGTCGGGGAGAGCCTCTAGAGAGGCATATCAAGATTAGCATATAACTAAGAAATACCAAATACTTGCATATTAACTCAGGAAGCAGATCAAGAACACAGACCGATACAAACTTCAGAGAGAGAGAAAATATCAGGAAACTACTATCAAGTTGAAATGTTCTCAAAATAATTCCACCAACATGGTAAACCTTAAGAATCTAACAAGCCATCACACGCACAATTCTATGTCATACCAATGACCCTATGGTTAAAATTACAGCCTATCAAAATATATCTATTAACCAACCAGATGGTCATATAAACTTCTTCTACCATCAAAATTTGGAACATTTAACTTTCATATTTCAGTGATTACTGCAATCTCAGTCTAATTTCCAGACGTCGTAAATGAGAAATTGAAACAAATATCAAGCTGTTGGCTTTCTACGCAACCTCAATTATCTGTAATTCGGATGTTAAAATCAGATTGACTCAATGTACATCATGTGTCATACACTTGAAGCAAAGCTCCCTATGTCAAAACAAATCACTATTTTACAAAATTAGCTTTTTTTTAAAAGGAATAAGAAGAGGAGAAAAAGGAACGAAAATGAGTAAAATCTAATCAATAAAACCATAAGTCGAGATGAGAAAAAGTCAAGAATTACCAAACAAAAATGTGCGGTTTAGTTGGCTTTAGTGGATAATTTATTCTTTGCACTTACTATGTGGAATAATGAATTAATGATCCATCCATCCTCCGCAGTAACATCAGTGTGGCTCGGGATGACAGAAGCATTCTTATCACTAGCAACATCAGAATTCTTGCCTAAAAATCCATTGCCTTGTCCATGATTTTCAACCGTGGGATACTCGGGAAATGGATCTTCTACTATAAGCCTTTCCAAACTTTTCAGAGACTTGGGAACATAAGATGACTCAGGCATATCCACTTGTACCGGTGGCGGCTCAGCTGTTCCCTGTTGATTGGGCCGCGGCAGCAGAAAGTTCATTGTTTCCACCAAAATCAGCTTCTGCAACGATACTTTACAACTCAAGTACTCGAGAAACAAGTTTTACTATTAAAACAAGAATGCCATCACACCATGGACAACCAATGGCTGTTTCTCTCTCAGAATCAATAAAGTTTCTCACTCGGCTCCAGTCTCTCAAGCAAAAATGAACTTTAAATTCAACCAAACCAAATGAACAAAACAATTCTTCCTACAATAAGCTAAACTAGGCCAGTTTTCATTCACCGAAAAATCCTTTCCCTTTAAGTCTTCAAATTATCCTGGATTTTAATTTTTTTTTTTTTTTATGTTTACAATAAATTTCAAGCAAAATATATAAAAATAATAATTCTAGCTAAGTAAAATCTAGTAAACTGGATAAAGCTGTGAACTATACGATTCCTGATCCGAAACTGGATTAACACATTAAGTAAAATTACTAATATTTACAACCAGGCAAATCCAAAGGTAAATAGTTCAAAAAAAAAAACGAAAAATGAAATCCAATAACAAAAATGTGATTGAACGATTTGCATTTGATTAGAAATAGAAAAAGGAATGAGATGACCGTAAATGGAATATCGTAAGCGATTACCTCATCGGAGATCAAATACTGACGAGTTTTCCTTGATCACTCTTGCTAACTGCTTGGTGCCTGCGAAAAGGGAGATCTCATTTCCTGACGGGACATTTTAACCGTACTGCATTCGGTTGTTCCATTAATTTGAGTTTACGTTTAAATCTGCTCTACCCCATTCCTTGAAAGCTAGCTTGAGAGCAGTTTCCTTGAGCCCGTTCCAGTAAAACGATGGCATTTATAGCCCAACCTCTGTAATTTTCCTTTGGGCTTAAATGATTTGCTTAAATCATGAGTTAATCTATCAAAAGATATAATATCAAATTTCACTTTAAAATATTTGATAAAATATTTTTAAAATATTTTATTTTACTACAAAATCTTTCTAATTAGATAAAAATTGTTGATTGACTAATATTCAATATTTGTCTATGAAGTCACAAGTATTATGTGTTCAAAGTGATTATATGATATGTACCACATCATCAATATACATTATCAGTTATATATACGTTATATATATATATATGACATGTATCACGTCATCGATTTGGATACATATGATTATCACATCAAACATTGACAGATAATTAACTAAAAATTTATATTCAATCAAGAGTTATTTTAATTTAAAATAAAATACTAAGAATTAAAGTATTGTCAATAGTTAAAAGGGATTATTGTTATTACTAAAGGTTTCAGATTCAAACACCAGCGATTCCTGGTGTTTATCTCGTTTGGTTTTGAGATAAATTTGGTTGATAATTGCATATACTATAAGTTCAATGGGAGTAAGTCAAATAATACCCCTTATTGCTAAAGGAAATAAGTTTTGTCATGATCAACGCTCTAAGGATGATTGAATCAAAAGAAATACAAAAAGGTTCTTTATGCTTCAAAATAAATAAAGAATTTAATATATATATATATATACTCATGTTTATAGGCATTCAAACATAACATATGATTTTAGGATATTAAGCAAATATTTAAGCAATTTAGGTATGGATTGTTGGATAACAATCAAATTGATTCATACAATACATTTAAGAACAAAAATGCTACATGATTACATATCAGAGGTCTAGTAACTAAGAGATTACTAGGTTCATGGACTCTGACTTATTGGAATATGGATGCAAAATTTTGTCACATGAACTGCTAATTATGAATTAATAAGAAAAATCACTTGAATTATTTTGTGACAACTAAATTGTAGTTCTTTATTACATATATAACATAAACACCTTAAGTCTAAGTACATAGACATTATGCTTCTATTTGTTAAAGAAAATTCATAATGATTATGTGGTTATAGAACATGTTGGTACAAACTCATAATTGTGTGTTTGCTAAAGAACTATCACCCAAGGCCTTTCATGAGCACACTACTCATGTGGGTTTAATATCATTTAAGGATATTCGGTTTTAGTGGGAGTTTGTAATTTTAATGCTCGTTTTTTTAGACACAATTTCACTTAATTCAATTTAAGGATATTTATGTTAAAGTTATTTTATGTAGAAATAAAGTTTGTTTGGTTTATCCACTCTAGTTTTAATAAATTTTGATCTCACTGATATTTAAAGATGACCAGTTGGAAATAGACATGTGTGGTTCACATTGCACATAATTTCCATGCTACACTCTATTATTAATCTATGTCATTTGACTGTGTTTGTGTACGTGACCATTGATGGGTCTAGTCATGATAAATATGACAAAGACCGTTTTTATCTTATACGGATATAGTTGATGGATGAGATTATTATAGAATATCTATTGCATGATAACAAATTTTGAGCTCATAAGGTTATACATTTATCACGAAACATATGTTGCCCAAGTGGGGGACTTATATTAAAATTCATAATTATGGACACATATTTATAATGTATATTGCTGTCATAAAATATGAATAAATTAAGTGACCAATTATGTTATAAAGTCATAAGGTATTAGAAGTATCATGGAAATAAAAGTGTAGATATTAAAGTTGTATTTATAATTTGATAAGGGGCAGAGTCATAAGTACATACAATAATTAATTCAATCAATTATATAAAGGGGTTATAGTCCCCAAGAAATAGATATCTCGTATTTTCTCTTATCCTCGTCTGAGAGTTTATACTCAAGGGAATTCTATCTTCTTGGAAGATCACAACTGGAAGACAATCTCCAAGATCTCAACCTTCTAGGTAATCTTCAACAATGGATTCAGGTACGTTTCCGCAAATTTAATATTTATTTTATTTTTAATGGTTTGGCATGATTAGATCATGGTTAGTGTTTTATATTTATTTATGGTTTGAGTCTAACACGAGGACCCCAAGATACTTACGGAGATCAATAACCTCCGCAAAACCAAAGCCATTACTCAGCAACGCCCGTGTCTCGCTAGGGACATTCCTGGAGAAGAACATTGTCATATTGATAACAATCAGTTTGTGACCCGAGACCAAACAATACTCTCCCAGAACCTCTCGAATAATATTTAGTTGATCGATTGAAGCTTCAGCAAAAAGAATCATCATATCATCAACAAAACATAAGTGGGATATGACAAGTCCACGCGATGAGGTCCGAAAAGGCTTCTAAAACCCTAGAGAATATAATATATATATATATATCATAAGGTCCACTTGATAAGTTCACAATATTATTATTGTTATCTGTTGTCACTATCTACGTATAATATAATATATATATTATATGTCAAAAGAAAGAGAATACAAAACTCCTAAGCAACAATGCCTCGAAAAGTATGGAGGGCAAAAGGAAACCCATTGTTTTCTAGCATTGGATGCGTTTAGCCTCAATTTAGGTTCAATTCAACACAACAAAATAGAAGTCTTTAGTATAAACAGCTTTGGTTCCTAGAAAGCCTAGTAAAAGCAGAGGCAGTCTTGCACTTTAGCAGGTTATCTATAGATGAAATGATCCATTCCTCCAATATTATAAGACTAGCCTTATGAAATGATCTTCGAATGCACTTTGCACGTTGTTACAATCTAGTCCAAACAATTTTGTCCATTCACAAATTGGTCTAAAAATGTTATAATGTTGAAAAGGACATTGATAAAATGTATAGTTGAGTAGTTTTTTCCTTTTTGAATAATCTAAAGTTATTATAAAGTATTATATGTTCCAAATACTCTCAACTATTTGACTATGAACGTTCAATCACACTGCTGCAATCGTCGGTGTTCAAACCCGTTACCTTTAAGAACAACAACAATTTCTTTAACCAATGAGATAAATTGGTTTATTCATAGTTGAGTAGTTAAAATGCCTAAATAGGGCAAAAGTCAAAAGTTTCATTCTTGCCTACCTTTTAAAGTTTTGAATAGAACCACAGTTGCAGCTTCTCACTGGGACTCTTCTCCAAAGAATCTTACTTCTTTTTTTTCTCTTCTTTTTCCCACTAGAAAACTTTAGATCATGTCATATGTTGTCCAAAGAACAAACTAAAGAGAACCGACCAGGTGGGAATTCATGAACCATAATTACTCCCCCATAGCTTTACTTTTCAATACAAAATTCGGTTAACAGGTCTTTATAAGCAATTAAACATCTTAAAGCTTCTATACTTTAAATTTAAGAATTAATATTTGACACATTAATGGTGTAAGTTTTTATCTTTACAAACAATATAAAAAATAAAAGACATTTGATAATATTTATATAATTACCTTAATTTTAAATAAAGTACATTCTTCGACTATAGAGTACTATTTTATTAAGTCCATCGACCATTAAAAGTTACAAAATTGTCCTCTGCTGATAGAATGTTGCTTTGTTGAGTCCCTCAACTATCAAAAGTTGCAAAATGGTCAACCGACTATTCATTGTGTTTCAAACTCATCATTTTCCGTTAAAATTTTGACGATTGTCTAAGTTGGGCATTAACGTGATGATTGAGATGTGATAGTCGTTTGAGATTCTGGGATCATATTTTATCATATTGCAGTCAGCTGCTTAACATTCAGCTCATAATATTGTCAATTTTTTTAATAGAAAAGGACGAGTTTGGAACAAAATAATAGTCAAGTGACCATTTTGTAACTTTTGATGGTCGATGGACTTAATAAAATAGTATCCTATAGTTGAAGGAACATTCATATACTTTACCCTTTTAAATATTCCATAAAATGGAGAAAAGGGGGGAGGTGAATTCAAGCTTGGGCTTTCCTTTTCCAATGTGACGTAGTCATCTATTTTGGGCTTTGTAATTGCTTGACCAGGGATTGTTTGGGTATTAAGCCTAAAACAATTAGGTCTAACTTTGTCAATTCAGATTGGGCCTAGTCCTTGTAGCTAATCAAACGAACAACACATATATCCCCTATTATTTATCTTTAAAAGATTATATTGATCAAATTAATAAAAAATAATCATTAAAATTGGTCAAGCAATTACAAAACGATCTTTAAATTTATGAAATTCATATAATATATAGTGATCATTTTATAATAAATCAAAAAATCCAATGATGATTTTATAACTCCAAAATTTAATAACAAGAAATATTTTAACATAGCTTGGTAATATTTTTTGCTTTTTACACAATTAGATCTTTTTAAAATTGTAGTCTTGAATAAGTTGAGTCTTGAGTCAATTGCTTAACTAAAAGCAACCCAATGCCTGCCTATGTGCCATTGCTTACAACCTACTCAACCAACTTATAATCTTCGCCGTTGAAATTATTATTGGGTTAACAGATATACTCAGCAGTGGCATCAACTGCTTTAATTTTGTTCTAATTGTTTAATCCCACTAACGCAAGTCTTCTTCATGTTATTAATTAAAAATGTCTTGCTTTAAACTAATCGGAAACCGGATATAAAAATAAATAAAATATTTTCATTAGTTTGACCTTCTAAGTAGGGATGGTCATGGGTTAGGTTGGGTCGGGTTTTTGATCCACCCGACCCTACTCGAGAACAAGGAGTCTTTCACACGGGATCCGACCAAAATAAGTTTTCACCTGACCTGACCCGATATATTACTTAAAAACCCAACCTGACTCGAAATAATAAAAAATATTTTTATTTAATAAAAATAGTGACTTAATTGAAAAAATAATATATAGAGAGGTATTATTGTAATTATTCTTAAATATATAAGGTAAAATTATATATTTTTTCGGGTCGAGTATTTTTCACCTTAAACCCGACCCGACCACAAAATTTAAAAAAATCCGACTCGATCAATTCGAATCAAGGCGAAACTCATCGGGTTCAAGTCTCATATACATCCCTAATTATAAGATGTTATTTATTTAAAAGACTTTAAGCCCTCAAATATCTTTATAAATATCGACATCATATCTCTATAAATAATTATATATCTTTTAATCATTGGGCAATAATTTTTAAATACTTCCATAAATATCATGCCCGTACATCATAATCTTAAAGATATTGAACTTTCTTTAATCACTGAGTTGGAGTGAAAAATGAAAAATATTGAAAATAGGCATACTTCCAAAACCTACTCTAATAGATTTCATAATCGTCTCTTTTACAGACCATGTGGACTTAATTTCGCCTAATTAAAATAAAATTATATAAAAATCAATTTTAATAAATTTTGATGATATATCATCATTTACTTTATCGATAATGTATAAAATGAAATATTATATATATATATTATAAATAAATTATTATAAAAGTATTTTAAGAGGAAATAACTAATCAAGTGATTTTAATTATTATAAAGATCTTGAATTGAATCAATTATATATATATATATATATTCAATAATTAATAAATATTTTAAATAAATATTATCGTATAATTATTTCATATAAAACAAAAAACTCAAGAGAGAAAATATACAATATCCAAAGTTCTTAAAATTAAGAAAACAGAAGAAAAAAAAGTTAGTTTCGTTATATGGTAATCTTAAAATACGGTTAAAAAAATGTGCTATCGAAAATATTTTTTTTTAATATTTCCAGTAAAACGTTACCTAAAATATTATTTTTTTTATCAAAAATATTATTTTCGCTAACTAATTTCCAGTAAAACCTAATATTAATATTTTTTGTAGAAAAATAATATTTTAAGTAGTATTTTACCAGAAATATTAAAAAATTTAAATAACCCCCAATAATAACATTTTCAATAAAAAAAAACTAATATTTTAAATAAAACTTTATTAAAAATATTAAAAATATAATAATATTTCTAATAACATATTTTATTAATTGTATATTAAGATTATAGTACATACAACATAACCGAAAAACCAAGATTTGTATTGCGTTTATTTTAAAATGGAGAGCCGTTGACTTTAAAGATGGGAAGTGGGGCAATATGTGCACGCGGCCCCACAAGACAAGGGGCTGCGATCAGGGAAATTAAAACAAAACCAAATTATTTTCTCTAATTTTATAATTAATTAAAAACATTTCATTTGTTCACGTCCTAATCAGATTCTGGTCTCACTACAAAACATGTGATGGGCTACGTCTTATATATATATTCTGACGGACAATTAAATTTTATTTTATATAAAATCAGTTAAATATTTATCGGTTAATATTATTTAAACCGAAGAACTTCTTGTAACTGCATGATCCGTCTTCTCCTTACTTAGAAATTAATTTGTATATTTAGTTTGAGAGAATTTAACTTTTATACTGTATAAATAACAAACTAAAATGATATAATTCACTTTTTAATTTTCATAATATAAAGAGGAAATTAAAAATATAATTTACTTTTTAACTTCCATAATATAAATTTTGAATTTAGCCTTGTCCCAGTCCCCAGTTTAAAGAGAGAAAAGTCGTTCAGAATAAGAACACTAACGGTTACCATCAAATGGATATTTCCAAAGGCAAAAACCGAATAAATAATAGGAGAAGGGAGCATTAAAGAGACGTCTACCGAACTCACAATCAGTATTCAATATTTAATTTAAAGTTCAAAAGAAAATCTATTAACAAAGGTATAATATCACACCGGGTACAATAATTTTATCAAATATTTAATATAGTACATGCATTTTTTATACGATATTTCGTTAATCGACGCCATTATGGTCCCTGCAACTCTTTCTAGTAAACACAATCATACGTCTAAGACATTCCACCAAGGCTTAAACGTTAAGCATAATCTTATGGCGTGTACAAAAAATTTGGGTCACTTGCTCTTTGATATTGAAATGGTCATGATACATACATACATATTTAATTATCATTCAATGTTGATACATTTGTATTTAGACATCCTAGCACAATCTACTAGTGTACTTGACTTCCCAATGGTCTATTTATAGAATTACTCCACAACTTTGCTTCCCACTCCACACTCCAGAGGGGAATAATAAGCAGCAGCCATTTCCTTTGAATCGAAGCATTAGGTGTATGTAATTTTCAGCCCAAACTTCCCCCTTTCCACAATGAATGGTCCAAAGAATATATACTATTCTTCAAGCTTTATTTTCAACAGGCAGATCCATGTAACAAAAATTATCAAACTATGGAGTAAATCAAATCAAAAATTATACCAAATAACAAAACTTAGTTCCATCAATATGAAAATGAGCGCTAGAAAACACAGTATCAATGGTGCTTGGAAGATCAAGCACCCTACCAGATATAGATTAATCCCTCAGGACGGCTCTACAGCACAAGAAAACCCAAGGGAATGACTCGGACTCATTTCATTTTTGACTCGGCAAAACACAGTTTTTTTACGAACTCACTCAAAAAAACATCACTAAGAATTCATCTTGGAGAGTCCCAGAGATCCACAGATAACGCTTAAAATACTAAATTTTCTAACTGCAAAACTTATGGGCAAGCTATGTTGAGGGGGGCGGCAACTTCATCGGCAACTTCATCGAAAAGAATGTCATCGGTGCTGAAATCACAATCGGGTAGATCACTGGGCTCGTCGGCTCCAATACCGCAAATACTTAGGTCTTCGATGCTGCAGTAATCCTCCAGCATCATTCCAAAATCGTTGACAAACAGAAAATCACCAGCTTCGGCGTCTATGTTTAGCTCTTGGTCAACTGAACCAGACAGCAATGGATCACCGATGAAACAGAGATCAGGTATTGGTATATCAGCGAAGCTCACATCGAACATCTCTTTGTTGGTATCACCACAATCATCGTTGTTGTTCGAGACTGAAACAGAAGAGGAAGCATCCACCTCGAGCACCGATGGAGAAGTATGCGACAAAGGGCCATCAGACTCCTCAGAAGTAGAGGCAGTAGTGTTGTCAGAAGCAGCGACGGAGCATGAAAGGTCATTGGTTTTCTCGGACGAAATGGAATCTGCAGAAACGGCAAGAGACTCGAATTCAAGCTTTTTAGCATCATAAGCCTTGGCTGCTTCTTCAAGAGTGTCGTAAGTACCCAACCAAATCCTGGTTTTCTTCAGTGGATGCCGGATTTCAGCAGCCCACTTGCCCCACTTCCTTTGACGAACGCCAACAGGTTTCCTCGTTTTAGCAACCTTAGACTTCTTGTCTTCGAGGGGTTTGGCCATAACCCTTTTCCTGCTGGTCGGGGTTTTAGAATTACTGTCTTGAGAAGAAGTCTCGGATTCAAGGGGCTTTGCTGGTGAACCAAAGCCCAAACTAGGAACTCTGATTTCTCGAACAAATCGCCTTCCCTTCGGAACTTTTCTAGTTTCCTCTGATTCATCTTCACTTGAAGACGAATCAGTCGCATACGGATCATGGAAGATGACTCGAACTTTTCGGATCATTTGGGCTTCTTCAGCAATGGTAGATTCGGTTTTCTTGGTCTTTTTGCAGGATTTACTTGGATTCATGGTTTGTTTTCGATGGTTCAACATTTTTTCTGGAAACAAAACTGGGTAAAACTCGAGCTAACCCCCCCCCCCAAAGCAGTGGACAAACTATGAAAACAAAATCAAGGGGAAAAAGGGTGTACAAAATTTCTCAAGACTCTCAAAGCAAAATCAAGTACGAGCCCCTCTAAAAAATAAGAGAAGATAGAAAAATCGTTGTTTTATATGGAAACCTCCAATACACTCAAATCCGAAACAAGGCCTGCAAACGAAAAACAAAACAACCCGACATCAAAACCCAGAACAAAAAACATATTCAGATGAAAAATCTATCACATGAGTTTTAATGTTTTGACCTACTTTTTCGATCTCAAACGCATCGAAACCGCCGGGAACACGAGATTCAGTCTCTGCCTTGAGAAGCAGAGAATCATGCAAGAAACGGCCAACAAAGCGGTGAAGAACAACTGTGCACAGATAGTAGTTGAAGAAGAAAAAGATAAACAGAGCTGCAACTGAGCCCCACTCGAAGCCAAATCAAACTCAGCCGACATAAATCTACTGATCAGCCTCCCTTTAGTGCTCTGGACAGGGCAACGGAAACCACCACCGAAGAGAGAAACGCTCACAACAAAGCGTCTTCTTCGCCTTAGATGCTAATAGATCTGATAGAAAAAAAAAGGGATTAGAAATATATGGCTATGATCTCTCTCTCTCTCTCTCTCTACAATCTAACAAAAATCCAGCAACAACAAGCCATATCTCATCGCTGCGAACAGTAATATAGGCCTCGAGGTGAGAGACACCGCCACAGTGAAAAAACCGTGTGAAAAATTACCGATCAACGAGGTTAACACAAATCTAAATGGAAGAAAAAATAATGAATTAAATATTGAACCCAAAAACCCAAAACCCTATTTCCATTTCCCTAAGAAAAGTCCGGAAAAATAATATTATTAATTTCCCATTACCCTCTTTCTCTCTGCAGTGGGTGTGGACTGAATCTGGATTTTCTTCGAATCTTATTCAAATCTTTGATGTCGCTTTCTCTTTTTCTTCTTCCGCTACGGCTGCTCTGTTTTTCTTCCAAGGCCATTCACCCTTTTACCACGCCCAGCAGTCTAAAATCGGCATTAAAGAGAATTTATATAATATTATTGAAATAATTAAAAAGGGTTAAAATTAATTTTATTGATTTAGTTATGGAAATAAATAATGAAAATTAGCTGTCATGCATTACACCTATCAATGCATGACAAGTCTATTGCCAAATATTTACCGTCCATTGGTATCATGTTTTTCACTGCCCTGGTTTTTTTTTATAATTTATCTATTTATTTGCACTAGGTTTTCTTTAACCAACACTCGCCACTCGCCACTCGCGATTGTGTTCACGGTTGCATCGACAATCGGTTTAACTTTGGTGTGTTGAGTGCACGCGTAAAATGTTGGGATGGGGATAGAGAGTCTGGTGTTTGCAGCTTTATTTTGGTATAAACGAAGCGCCGCGTTTCGGCAATGTACTAGGGAAGGGCTCTTCTTGGTCTTTACCACTGAATTGCCGTAACACTCGGGTATGGGACTCTAGTAAATTACATCATTGCCACTGAAGTGACCACAGTTCATTTCACCTGCAATACTTCATGGCCTATAATTCTTCCCCTTTTACCTTTCCTAATTCGATTTTTTTTTCATTTGAGATAAAATACCAATTTTTTAATAAAGAATATTTCTCTGATTAAACTTCTTAATTCCCTTTTTCCACTCTCTTTATTTAGAAATTTTAAATACTTTTATTATATTTAAATCTTATCGCAATGAACTTTTTTTAAATATATATTTATTGACTTATAATTTTTAAAATTTATTGTTGTTATAAAAATATAACTATATCTTGTTTTCATATCATGTTTAGCAGTATAAATTGGATTTAGATTTTAAAATAATATTAATTATAAATTTAACTAATATAAATACTTATACAATTAAATTAATTTGTACTTCTCCGCTTATAAATTAAAAATATTTATTTTTTCTAATTGAAGGTATTCTTATTTAAAAGTATAAATATCTTAAATTACAAAGAGGGGTTTACAATTATTATTATAAACTAAATATGTAATTTAGATACTTTTCATAACATTAAAACTAGTCACTTTAGATCGTACAAGTATCGAAGAAGGTTAAAAATCTAACCAAAAGATTCGAATAAAAAGTAGATACGAACAAATTTAATTGCATTAACAAACGAACCATCAAATGAGGTTAAGCTATCGAAATACTACATAAGATCATTATCATAGTTTAGTGTCGTGATAAGCTATCTATAAACGTAAAATCGCATATCCAAATTCAATCTAATGATCCATAACAGGGGATATCAACTGGATTGCAAATAAACGTAATATTGATATGTCATCGAGTCCAACTCTAAGAGAAAAAAATGAAAAGACCAATTAAACGATTGAAAAAGAATGCGAAAAAACGTGTCACAAAATATAGAAAAAATAATTCACATAGACATAATTAGTCTTATTAAAAGAAAAAAAATCAATGATCCATCATCTACATCAAAATTGATATCACTGTTTAATAAACAAAATAAAAAAACTATGATTTGTAAAAAAAAAAAAAACTCTACAAATTTTAAGAAAAAATGGAGAAAGTATATAGAGTAAAGTGCCCTTAATATTTAGTTATATTTAAGTCAACAAAACTAGTAAATTATAATGAACATCTATATACATTACAGTTAAATAATTAAACTTATATATTTAATTACAAAATAAATTTTCAAAAATATCTATAATTTTTAAAATAAAAAACATTATGAAGATTTAATGTGTTTTTTGGTAGTTATAACTATTACAACACGTTTTATTCGTTTTATTAAAAAATTAAGGTGACAGCTACCAACGTTTTTCATTTATTTTTTAGGTTTCAAGTAACATACTTAGCAAGGGAATACAATGTAAGATCACCCCCATAACATAAAGTCAAGGTGGTGTAACATTTTCTTTCACATTTAACCATTCATGAATGAATTATCATAACACATCTAACCCTAATTAATAAATCAACAAAGTCCAGCAATTAGCCAACGTAAATCACGTTAATCAAATTCTCTTTTAAACATCCATGGAATTCGCTAAACAATTTTCTAAATCATTAATTAGATAATGTCTTGTTGATTGTATTATTTTTTTCAATACAAGTTGTCAATATATTAGATTTTAGTATAGGATTAGGGATGATAACATGTCGGATTAGGGTTAAGGTTTTGGTCAATACGATCCGATATGAAATAGATATCTACACCCGAATTTGACATGAATAAAAAAACATAGATTTTCACCAACTCCTACCTGACCCGATTTTAGAGTATAAACCCGACTTGACACGATATAAATAAATAATAATAATTTTAAATGAAATTACATTAATATCCACGGGTCGGATCGGGTCATAGTTTATTCACCCTTCATCGAACCCGGCCCGATTCTACTCCTTAAAATCTGACTTGATCTAAATCCGAACTCAAATTATTTTTATAAAAAAATCTAACCCTCTCATGTCAGGTCGGAACACGTTGAATTCGAGTTAAATTGTCATTTGTATATGGGATCCAAGCTGATAATAACTAATGTACCCTTCACACTGCAACTTGAACATAAAACATCTAAACAGAGTAATATTCTTTTAACTATTCATATCACTTTATTTTAAAAAAACTGTTTAAATCACTTTATGAATGGGGAAAATTGATATTTGATAATATGAGTATTACTTGCATTTTATCATATCACTTACTTCTATAATAGATTAATAATTAAATTTTGAAGTATTTATATAATTAAGTTATTCAGTTTCATTTTATAAATGTGAAAACTAAAATAATTCATTAAATTATTAAATTACCTTGATAATTAAAGAAAATATTTTGTTTTTAAATTTAAATAATTCTGTTTATAAAATATAAATTGATATTATATTACAATTACTATTAAAAGATAACTTTCGAAAAGACAATAGCTTCCACAGAAAATTACGAAGGCGGAGTTGTCAGCGAAAAGGAAAGGTCTCAAGAAGCCACGTCATCAATATCGACATCGGAGAAATCACCCAAAACAACCTAACGAAAATTAAAATTTGAAAATAAAAAGGGAGAAAAAAGCAAAGAAAATTCAGTGTATACAAATCATATTACAGAGCAATTTGCCCGTTACAGACAAATTCCTCAAACTGCATGCAATGAAAAAAAAAAGGAAGCCTTGTTGTCCCCATTAATACCAATCCTCGTCATCGTCCACAGAACAAATACCTCAAACTTGTCCAATTTTTCCACGTGTCGGCCGATGTTAGTCTTTGGAATGGGTAAGCTTTTCTTTTGGCGGGAATGGATAGGCGGTGGGCTCCACGTCATCTCATTTGGCGCGAAAACGAAGCTACCTCTCTTTGGTCCACTCATCTTTACTTGCGTACCCAACTTGGCCTCTAGCTGACCCCCGCCCTTTCCTTTTTCTAGCTTTTTTTAAAAATTTTAGTCAACACACATGCATGTATGTATGCATGTACGATGCATCGGATGACATAATAACCATTGTCATGTGGTGTCACGTGACGACAAATGCCAATGGACTGCAAGTGTGTGACCCTTTTTTTTTTACTTTATTTGCTATTATTCGGTGTGGGCGGGCGTTGGAATAGGGGACAAGATCTCAGTGTTCCTTTGCATTTTCTTTATCATTTACTATTATTATTTTATATTTTATTCTGTTTTACACGGCTGCAGATTTCGATGCGAACATGGTCACGTGAGAAAGCTCGCGCTCTTTTAATATTTACTTCATATCGTAATATATTTTATTTTTCTTTTGTTATTAATGAGGGACACGGTTGGTGGAATATAATATACTTAATACAATCGTTGTAATATATTAAGTAGAAGCACTTTATTATTATTATTACGTTTTTGAAATTTAGTATACACATCAAGTGAATCAAATTATTTGAGTGAAGTTTTATTTATCTTTATTTTCTTTTAATATTTTTGTAATGTTTTCTTTTCCTTTTTTATTTTTGTTTAATTGGTTATGACATCAATTTTAATATCGATTGTTGGTTATCGAATATTATTAGTTTTCTTATTTTTATGCTATGTTCTTTTTTTTTAGTATTTTTTAATTTTGAATAAAAAACTTTTTCATAGTGACACATTTTTCTCTGTTTTTGTAGCACGATAATTAGGGTTTTTGGTACTTTCTTCATGTACCTTTGCGATCGCTTTGGTTCTTGCACAAAAATCATCGTGAATTTTTTTTTTATTGGTTTGTCAGTAGTCATATATAGTCAAATCTCCTCTTTTGGTAAAAGATTGTTTGTTAATGTAATCAGAATTTTTAACGAAACAACTTACCAAATTATTTGGTTTGTTCTCCATGTCTTAATCACTTAGTAAAACGTTTCACCCAACTGAGATACTAATATTTTATGGAAGTTATTAGGTTTTGACTTAATCGTCATTCTTAATGGAAGATTTTATATTTCTTCGTATATTTAAGTTAATATTTTACTTTTGTATAATTGTTTTAGTGATTATTGTCTCCAAAATTTTATATATTAAAATGCGTTGTAATTTTAATTTTTCTATTATTAACGAAATTCAGTTTTCATTATTAAAAAAACTATTTAACTGAAACTCGTCCAAAAAGAAAAGGCTCACGTGATAGACTCTAAGGAAATAATAATAATAATAATAATAATGTTTTCTAAAAAATAAATAATTTAAATTAAAATAAAA